ACCAGAGCACGAGCTACCGACCGAGAGGCGCTGCTGACTTGGAGACAAAGGAGGCGTTTCACGAGCCTGATACACCTACGTGAATTTTCATTGTTTCGCCACGAAGGAAGTAATTATCACGGTTGGAGGTTGCACAGATGCAATGACGACCATCCATCGCGAGACACGCTCGAAACTGATGACACGGTGACGTTTCGCGACGTCTCTGCCCATCGTAACCGACCTTTTGCCGACTCATTATACATTCGAAGGGCAATTAAGCTCCAGCCCAATTATGCTGTTGACGACTGCTGGCAGCTGGTTCGCGGCCGTACCCTCTCTCACACAATACCCGTTAAACAAGATCCACAAAGACGAAACGGAGGTCTCGTCGAAACTCGCTCCGTGTCATCCGCGCGCGATTCAACACGCCACAACGCCTGCCTTGCCATCCGTATCTTCCTTCTTTTCTTCCTTCGCGCAGTTGTCGCTCCTTCGTCGTGCTGAATTTTCCCCCTCCCCCTCCCCCTTTCTCTCTCTCTCTCTCTCTCTCTCTCTCTCTTTTCCCTCGAGTACAAACACAAACTCGATCGTAAACCGCTAAACTTTGTACTTTCGAAAAGGCAAAGATTCGTGGCCTGGGTGAAATCATCGATTGGTTGCGTAAGCGTCGACGATATTCTCGGTGGACTCGTCACTGGACTCTCAACGGAGAGAAACAAATCGGTAATTTACCAAGAAGCACTGGTCACAAACGCGATTACGTAAACGGGTGAATCGCGACCGAGTCGGGCGACCAACGACCAACACATATCGATCGAATCGACTTTGCGGAAAATTCATACAGCCGGATGTGGAAACGACAAACGACGACGAGGCAGCCTTCGAGCCAGCCAAGCCGGGGAAAGACGGGGAAAGAAAGAGAGAGGCTCGCAAAGATGGCTCGCTCCTTCATAAATCATCGTACAGATACAAGGAGAGATATCTTCCTTCTTGCTACTCGCACGAGCAACACAAAAGCAAGCAACGCGTCGAGAGAATAAAAATATTCGTCGTCGCGAGAAAGAGAGAATCGAGGACGATTCGAATTCACGCACGATTCACAGAAAGCAAGATTTCTTACTGTAGACGTTAAATTCTTAAACGTCAATCCTTATAATTTTTAATAACAACTGATGTATTTATCGGAGGATCGAGGAGCGAACGAATCAAATACCAAATCAAAAACTAAATGTTTAAAGGCGAATGGATTCCCACACCTCTTCCTGTTCGATATTAAACTTTTCCAAGGGTTCATGTCAATTACATATCTGTTTTTAAGTCGAATTTACATCGAGGTTTTGTATCGTATGGCTTAACGTGTCTCATCACTCGAGGATCGACCTGAAAAAACGACACTAGCAAGGAGTGCGGAGTACCTTGCGTATTTCACAATTAAAATGCCACACGTCGCGAAAGAGACAAAGACAATCGTTTGTTTTGTTCCTCGTTGGTTTGAAAGTTGGTACGTTCATCTCGCGCCTCGTTGGAGTATTTTCTTTTATTTGGCGGATATACATTTTAAAAAATCAAAGGAGATTTAAATCTCGTACAGAGCTACGCACCGTCTTTCAGAGATGGAATTTCTTAGATTTGTGACATGTACGTAAATGTACAAATATACATTTGTATATTTTGTACAAAACATTTATACGTATGTATATATATATATATATAT